AGACGAAACACGAACAAACAAAACTCAATGATTGTCAGTCACGGGATGACCTGGTTTCACAGTGATAGGAAACACAAATTCCGGACAACGGGTCCGGAGTTCAGAGCCCAGACAAACTGGTGAATATGCACAACTGATGAACCCTCATGGGGAAGAAACTTGAGTCCACTGATTATATAGTATGCGATTGATTGATAAACGGGGGATTGTGGTTGAAGAAGAGGTCTAAAGGATGATTACTGAAGCTTGATTTTTAATTCCTGAATTATTGTTTTTGTTCGTACAATCGAGAGTGGAACATATTGCGGAGATTTATCCAGATTTTGTTCGAGGTTCTGTAAAGTGTATGAATTAATCAGCTACCAGTCTTCAGCAATTGAAGCATAGAAGGGAGACACAAATTGAAGATTGCGAAGGTCATTCACTCAGTTGATATGGAGGGTGATAAAGAACTTGAGAGAAGAGTATCAACGATTAACTTTTTTACGCATGAAGACAGTGTATCCCTAAACTTGACACGTGACTCGCGGATCACCGGTTACCGGGTGTCCAACGGTGTGGTGAGTTCACGCCGACCGTCCACAGTTGAAGTTCACTGAGCATTCTAAAAATGCTAGGCGCGTGCTTATCCGAACAGACGCAAATAATTTAATAGATTAAGCACATTCTGCAGCATGAAAAATAAACGAGACCCATGCCCTTAGTTGGCAATATGGCGGTAAACATTTCACTACTTTATTTATTGTAGTAGTATAGTCAGTAACTGTACTTTAGCCAACCGCATTTCAAAAATTCCCACTTGAGATAATCAGTAAAGAAACACACCTTACAGGGAGATCAGCCATCCTTCAGACACTCCTTATTACAAGAAAATTGTAAGCGCGCATTCACAAGAAACTTTCTAACGGGGGCAGAGGGGAGATGGTTAAAGTAACCAACATATCGCCCCGGTGGTCATGTTCAAATTGTACCCTTAACTTGCGCCATTTCAAGAAATCCCGCAACTTTTTTCCTAGGGTATTCCCTTCTATGAAAACTCCGTCCACTATAATTAACTAAATAGAGAAAAAAATTAATAATCTCACCTGTTATGCGTAACTCCTGAATCGAGAAAAGTTTGGTCCATCGTACAAATGATTTTGCCCTGCAGACCATTTTGGGGAGAAAACAGTGAACTGAGGCTTGAACGAAAAAATGCTCAACAATGAAGTAATTCTTTGTAAAGCAAGGTGAATATTTGTCTTAAGAAAATTTTGAGATTCTGATATTTATTGAACCTAATCTCCATTGCGTACTTTACCGATCGAACTGATGTTTTCCAATTTGTGGCTTTCTGCTCAGGCTAGAAGCAAGTGAAAACTCACTGTGATAAATTTCAAAATGATCGCAACGTCAATCACTTAAGCCAACGTGCCGAGCCCACACATGATGCGTGTTCTTCTTTGAACACTTTAAACACTTCGCTTCTTGGGTGAAACTCAAACCGCTTGGGAAAATATAAAATACTTATGCATGAGACATTTGCATCTAATGAAATTAAAAACACACCTCCGAACGTTTTATAAACAGTGTGCCGCATTTCAACTACCAGAACATTTTTTTATTCAGGGTAATTTCAATGTTTTTTTAGCATAACCTTGATTTGCATGGCAAACACCATGAGTAAAAATCCACAGTCAATCCAAACAAATCAAACAGTCAGAAAACACCAATCGTACATTTTTCCGGGTTTTGAACCTCGAAAACTTCGCATAGAAAGTGTGTGTTGCGTTTGTGTAATCAAGCTCTTATCGGTAATAAGCGAAATGGGTATTGCAAGTTTCATCAGACACCGTCCTTAATGACGATTATCCAGTTTATTTGTTTTTATATAAATGACGGCAGAAAAAGCCTGCCATCTACTAATTTCATTCTTAAGTCACCCAAGCAATCGGACGGATACAGGGAAAACTTGTTCAGGTACACCAGTTGAGCTAAAATGTGCTTCAATTATGAGTATTGCTGGTAAGTAGCACTAGTGACGATGCTGAATAAAACGAACTCTCTGAATATTAGGGAAAACGAGATCCGATCAAGCTTGAATTAATAATTTGTAACAGCTCCGATGAAGTCTCGGCAACGCTCGCATGTTTTCTCTTTGAAGTTCGAATTACTGAGAACTGCGTCGAGAGAGAGAGGAAGATGGTACTCTGATTAGATCCAGCAGATTCTAAACGTCAATGCTCCTTTAGTGCGAATTATTTTTGACGCAGAAAATTATTCAATCCTACACATTCATTTCATTTCAATAAAGCGTAACCATCGATTACTGTGTATCAAATGATACAGGCACTATAAATGCTAATGGGAGAGAAAGCGTTGATCTGAAATCGGTTAGCAGAATCCGCTCCAGACGGCGGTGGCTTTCTGAGACGGGATACCAAACAATCGGTCCTAGGTTGTTTAATTCTACACTTTATGTGATACGGTCAAATAATAATAATAATAACAATAATAATACGCAATGCAAGGGACAAATACACATGTGCGTCTGTGGTAAATCACGGGTTTCACCTTCTGTGTTTACTGGCATTAATAGATTTGATCACACCAGACGGAAATTGTTGAGCTGTTCACATACCGACAGTTTTATTTAGCCGGTAGCTCCAACCCTATCGGCTCAAACAAAATCGAAGCGTCAAGCTTTTATTTCACCTCCCCGATAATGCCCGAAAATGTTTGCACCGATTGGTGCTTGTACATCGAATCGCTCTCAAAAAGATTCACAATTGATTAGTCGACCGATCGATAAGTGGATCGATTGGATTGACGAGCATCACTAACCCACTCATGCACACTCACACAATAAGTTACGAAATAAGATGCTTGTCTGGTCAGGCACCCATGATAGTTGTCTCTCTTCTAAACCAATCGGAACCCCCCTCCAAATACGCACGCACAAACACGCACACACCTGGTTCATCTTCTTTGAAAACGAGGCGTTCAATGCGACCTGAATTGCATCATTAAGCTTAGTATCACGTTGGAGCGTGAGCACAACTGTGCTCGTGCGTGTGTGAGTGTTTCAGCGCGTTCGCAGGTGTGTGTGCAGTTCTATGTCTGTAGGTGAGTGTGTGGGTGTGCAGTGCATTGCACGAACGAGTTACGCGCTTTCCTTTCTGTGAGCATTCAACTTCTGAGACAAATCGGTAGACACTTCTGCATTTATTTCAACTGCTGAATACCATCCGCAGTTTGACTGGGATTACGAAAATAACCCCACCTATACGACACAATGGAGGAACGCAAAGCACTCGTAAAATACACTAACATGGACAATCGTATGGTCGAAGCCGCCATTGAAACCGCAGTTCAGGCATTGGACAAATATCAGGTATCCAAGGAAATCGCTGATTACATAAAGCGTACATTTGACAAACGATATCAACGAACGTGGCACTGTGTTGTCGGAAGGGATTTTGGAAGGTGAGTTTTACATCACATGCACCTCGGTTGTTAGGGAGGTAATCGCTTAGTGAGATCATTTGATTATGCTCATTGTAAATCACATTTGTCTGTCTGTTTTGTCTGAAAACTAAAAGAGCTAACTTTTCCTCTCTCTTTCTGTATCTTCACAATCCCGGTCACATTTCCTAATGTTCTAAATGCAGTTCAGTGACGCATACGGAAAACTCCCTGATCCATTTCACACTGGACAAGCGCACATTCATGCTATACAAATGGGGTTAGACAACAATCGATTGGCTGAGAAGTCCCAGGATTTCCACAGGCTACTCCACTCTCAGTCACAAACCCAATCGTACGTTTCCCCAATCGCTGTCCAACTCTTTCTGCTGTATTCTATCAACCCCATCAAACTCCAGCCCCGAATGGTGGCGACGGTGAAATGCATGCATCCGGAGCTACGAACCATATCCTAACTATTGGAAACCATTCGAAAAAATACTTTTTTCTAGAGTTCTGTGATATCTGTGCATACCCTCTATTTCCCTCATTGCTATTGTTTGATGTATTATTTAGTCCAAACAAAAAATTGTTCATGCGGATTTCTTCTCGGATTCCATACACACCACTTCTGATGTTGGGCTGAGACATTCGTAAAATTACAGTTATACCGTACAATCTACCATTTAATTTCAGTGCATCTAGTCTACTTAGATTTTCAAGTTATTGTGCAGTCCACGCCCGTTTGACCGTTGGCAGTTGTGTTATGGGTTTTGATGTAGCCCACCGGTATTGGGATAATATGACTAAGATATCTCTCCATTATATTCTCTAAAATGGGTTGAAGCACATCACTGAGGTTAAACAAAATGTTTGGTCGCGCACCCGTAGGACCTTGATTTCGAAATTCGATAGAGCATATTTGCATAGGATCCCCAATGCAGAGATCATTGTGTTTCGCAAATGAGATGAATTAATAACATAAGCAGTCCAAATGAGATTTATACACAGACTAAATGGAGACTGAAAGTAGCAGTACTCTTCAGGACCCAAAGTAATGAATGGTGCAATAAAAAATGTAGTTGTGCCATCGCAACCACGAAAATGTCACAATATCTTTCTTAATTTCTGATAGTTGGTATGTGACTAGTATGTGCACGTGTATTGGATTCTTCCGGTAAACCACAGCATAGAAAGAACCTGGATCATTTGTAACCAGCGCTATGCATTTAATGTGTAGCGTAGCACCGAGGATGAACCAATCTACTGACGATGCGAATCACATATCCGTAGGCCACAGTGAAGGTGATCTGTGTGACTGTTCTAAAGTCTATCAGCTGAATTGACATAAACCTTATTGGAATAATCCCCTGTCTAAAATTATGGTTAAACAAAATGCATTCCTTGCAATACATTGAATTTAGGTTTTGTCCTAGCGTGTTTATCACATAAACCACCGAACTATTTAAGTGCAGCTTACTAGTTGCGGAAACACTCGGTTATCATCCTACAAATAGTATTAAAACTGAAAATAGTTGTTCTCAGGCCGAATACTAAATGTATCTTAGTAGTGACATTTTTTCCTGAGCATGAATTTCATTCTGTATGCATTAAATGGCATCTGTCCCTTGAGTGATCACTCCCGTTGCTGCTTAGAGATCCTATGGGCAATTGACCACGTTGGTATCAACATGACCCAGGCAATAAATTTGCATGAATGAATACGCATTACTCGCAAGCTTTCTTCTAATGGTTTCTAGATATTTGCATATTAGCCGCAGGTAAACCGATACAACAATTTCTCAGTTTATTACAAATAGCATTGACAATGTCCACGGCCTTTTGAAATCAAAGTCTCTAATCACCTGGGATTGATAATTTCCTTCTTCCAAAAGCCTCAGTACTCACTTGGGAAAACAGTCACAATAAACGAAAAGCATAGTTCCTTTAAAAAGTCCTCATGTATGAAGTGTTTCTGGTCTACGGTTTCTTTACTCAGTATAAACCTCGAATGTTTTGTTTAGGAATATCTATAAGATAATAAAATACCGATCGACAGACCGTAAAATATTTTGTTTATCAAAAAAATGGGTTTAGAGTTTGGGGTGCATTGATTGCAACATCGGTCAATCGATGTGGGAAACATAAACCAAGGAAACTCAATTAAAAACGACGTCAATAAAACATTAGTATTATCACTCTCATAATTGAATGATTTCTAACTAGAAAACTAACACTTTTTTCTGTCGATACTTAGATAGCCCAAGCGGGATAGAAAAAAACAATGGAAGAATAGTTTACACTCGAATGAATTAGAACCGGTGGTGTTCATATCGATAACTAATGCAAACAGTGTCGTCCACTTCAAATCAGAATAACCCATGGTATGATACCCCAATATATCAGGTTTCTAGTCTTCTATCTTATGATTCAGTAGTGAATTGTTGCGTACTATGTCATCCAGGTACCAAATGCACGCGGACATATTCACCAACGCCAACCCCTCACCCCGGTGGACCATCAAACGTTGGATAAGTTGATGGGGCATCTGCATCTCTAAATAACGAATTCGGTGGCAATATCGAGTGTGATTTTTGTCTGAACAATTAGCAAATTGTGTTGTGAAAATATTTTGTGCGTACGTGTTTTGATCCAATCGTCGTTAGATCTTCTGACACGAAATTCTTGAAAAATGTAAACGCATCAAAACCAATAACAGTTGATCATTCACGTGATCAAGTATGAGAGCCAGACAATAATTTCATCTTGATTTCACGCAAAAACTAATTGATCACACTATTTTGTCGGAAGAATCGCTTTGTGTATAGCACTAAAACGGGTGTAACTGGCAGTAGGATGCTTTAATCTAGTCATAAATCTCGACAGAGAAACAAAAAATAGAACTGGATGCATTGTATTGGTAAAAACCCAACCGTATCTTAGGTAATAAGATGCATTGTTGAATGACACAAACTCTAAGCCGTAGCTGATTTATTACAACTCAATGAAAGTTTAAGTTATGTTTTCCATTATTCACTTATTAATTGTTAACTACAAATAGAGTAAGGTCAATAAACTATGTTCGTAATTTTGTTTTACCAATTGAGTCTTATATAGTTTTAGAGGTTTTTTTAATGCAATGCATTATATGTACACAACACACACATCGAAACACAACCCAACCCCACCCCATCCTACCCCCGTCCCTTCTAAGAATCACCTTATGCTTTGTGCATATGCGCAAACCTCTTCCACAAAGCTGAATCCTCTGAAATCGTAGATTGATTCGATTGGTGCAGTCAGGCTGTCGTCAAGTTGCCCTGTAAATCAATCACAAGATTGTGTTTTCGCATTTCAATTCCATCATTGCCATCGGCAGGAAGAAAGTTAATAGTAAATACGGCGCCGATAGCCAAGCTAAAGTTTTCTTTTAGCTGGGGCCTGCGGCTCATGAGGGTCTGTACAGGGCAACAAAGAACTGGGTTAAGAGTTAGGCGTCCTTGGTGGAATTCGAAAACGGGTAATGACGCTGGCCGGTGTACTTTGGGCCTTGAGGAAGAATTTTGTAATTCTTCCGTTTCCGTAGAAAGGTGAGGTAAACCATCGACACAGGCACAAAACATGGTTGAAACAAGGATCTGTTGCTTTGAAATAGATTAACGGAGATTGTAACAATTAGCCCTCAAGAAGCAACTTGTGTCTTTCTGACTGGTAAAAATAAGAAACTGATAAAAAACCGGTCAGGTTAGGTTTTTCGGGTGAAACATCAGCTTTATGCAACCAAAATGGTAAAGCTTCAGGGTTTTTGTAAAATTGTTGTGGATAAGACACGCACTTGAAAGCGATTGATAGATGCAAAATAGTTCCATGCTATAAGGAAGTTAACGCGGTAGTTTTAAATGACTAAACAGTTTTCCATCTACTAAAATATGGGCGAGATTATCAATGTTAACATCTTGGTACGTAGCGGTTGGGTCGTGAGGAGACCAAATTGGAAACAGGTACACTGTATAGGAAACTCCACTGTTACATGAACAGTTTAAGATATCTGGAAGAGAGAATAAATTCTTTCCCTCCAAGCTGGGAACATTTCTTTCTTTCGCGAAAACCATTGGTATATGATACCAGTTGCATAGCTGAGTACCTTGGATTTTCGTCTTCAAGTAAGGCTAATCTATAATTCAAATGTTTTAAAGTTTTAGGAACGAAATACTCGGTATCCACCGTAGTCATGCTTCAGCATCTGCATGAAGCATCACATTATTCCAATCTAGGAGTGAATTTGACCGGGTTGACAGATAGTTAACAGAATGAACGATTTTTGCTCCATGCACAATCCTCTTTTCAATCAATAACAGTATAGTCCAAATAGTCACGTAAACTCGATTAATTGTTTTCGTTTAAACTGATAAACAGCTAAAAGAGTATTCCGAATCAGTCTGCGCGCATCGTTTTCTCATCGGTTTTCGATATTGATCAGGAACGGAACTATAGTTCGTGAGATCCGAGTGATTTTCCGGGACGCGTCCCGCGAGTGCCAAATGTACGACCAGAATGACAATGGGGTTTCGTAAAAATGGCAGAGAGCATGACTAGAACAATCAGCCCCGGGTGCACTGTCTTTTTTGTTGACAATCTGCGTCATCCGGTTCCGGTTCGTGACATCGGCGCATTGACACCAGTCACCTCAATCACAATACGTTTCTTTATCCGGTGTGGTGGGTGCATCAAAAAACAAGGAAGTCTTGATAGCTTGTGCTCAGTTTTCTAGTTGCACGTAGACTGGGGTAGGTTGAATACAACAAGGATTTGATTTCTCTCAATGTTTTATAGTTGTTCATGTTAACTCATGGTAGATACTTCAGGTAGTTATCAATCGTGCAATACGATGTACTCCTTAAATTTTATCCTAAACGAATCTAATCCGGTCAAGTAATGAATTCTTCAACTACGGTGCCTACATATTTAACTGCGGCATGAATATTACAAGCTAAACACACAGAGAGAGCAAGGTGGTACGTGTAAAGTAAAACGGAAGAACAATTTCCTTTCAGCGTGCAGCAAAACATTGTAATAGCCTCTCCCTCTCACGGTGCACAAGTAGGTTGTCCTAAATTCCCATTAGACGACTTTAGCGAATTTCTTTCTATCTTTGCCTCGAAAATTCGATCTCAAGGTCACTTCAAAATTCAAGCACACAATATATCTGTTATGACCTACAGTTGACTGATACGTTTGTCATGCTTGCCTGCGGTCGGACTGATTGGTTGAGTGATTGATGAATTCACTTGATGGATTGATTGTCCGCAGCCCCATACGCATGCGCTTACCTCATACAAAATAACTCTATTACAACATCGACCGGCTTCAGCCAACCTGATCTTAGTATTGGACTGTCCCCGCTGATTGATTGGTTGACTGTTTGGTTGCCTGCTTAACCTCATTCGGATGTCGTGTGACGCTTGGGCCGTTTGTCGGCCTGCTTTCCCATGTGCCTACGTCTTTTCCCGCTTCTGTTTGCACGCCGGCCTACGGATCGGCTACGGTTGTCTAGTATAATAAACGTACTCTCTAATTCACTGCGTGTTTATTTATGTACTTGACCGGGATACAACAATATCCATGATCAATGCCCTATGTTCATTCTATCGCTGATATGTATGGGCCATCAGATAAAGGAAACAGCAACTGATATCTAAAGCACTGGATTTTGTATGCGACCATTTCACAATATCGGGTGCTCAGGAGTAAATATCAAACATTCAAAAAATGACTAACTATATTGCATGAAAAGAGAGTCAAAGAAACCCAACCACTCTCATTATTAGAGATCTCACTTCGTGAACGCATGGATGTCTCCTTTCCCCCCCCCCTTCATTAACAGATAATATCGCCTCTGCAGTTTTCCAAAAGTGCGTCATCAAAATCGTTTTTGAAATGATAACATTCATCTTTGGTAAAGATATGCTATGGGAATAGCTAAAACTGACTGATCCAACACCTTGAAACAAAAGCTGCCAAGTTCGACTCCCAGTCAAATATTTAACACCAAATCCAAAAGTAGAAAACAAAAGAAACTGCCATGCAAAGATATTTACATTTGATTGTCACTCATACATGAAAATGTTGCAACTTGAATCAAAAGACTGTCATCGTCTTCCAGACATACGTTAAAAGAGATACACTTTTGTTCCAGGATTTATATGATTTCTCCAATGCAGAATAAAATTTCCGGTCCCTTGTTCCAAACTTCAATTCATAATTTCATATATATATATATATGATCCTACAGATGTGCCGAATAAACCAAAAAGTCATCTGAAAAGTGTAGCTTTCAACTTGTTTGCAAAGTGGCTGGGAATTCATTCCTCAGGACGTGTCAGAAGATATTCAGAAACTAACACATACAGCAAGCGGGGAACAAGTTAGGACACTAGCTTGGTAACCGCGCAGGATCTTCTCAATACTGGACTCTCAAAGGATTGTCCTCGGGTAACTTTTCTCGTCTAGATAGGAACTCCGCAGGCAGTGAAACAGAACACAGCTGGAAGCGTGTAGGAATTCATTCATTATGCGAAAATCATTGTTGTTTATAAGAAACAGCGAGGCCAGGGAAATGCATATATCAAACGATTGGTTGACTAGAATGCTTTCAACCATCTGCATTGTTTGACGGTTCCGGCCAATTGCCTGAGCTCGCCTATCGATGTCCCCATTGGCCGTCAGAGCACAAATCATTTTTCAAGGAGCCTACTGACGCTCTAACAACTAGGACGCATTGTGTTAAGTTTACGGCACTCTAACCTACATTTACGTTGATAAACGGGACGACTGCCGTTATTATATTCCATTCTAGACTTGATATACAAAAGCAAATATGATCCCATTTAGAGCTGTCATGATGGGAGTAATTATCCTTATTTTTTATTTAATTCTCTACCTCCTGTTTTGCTCATTCCGAAGTTCCCTTCTTTGAACATTATCTATCCCCTCCGCTCCCATTTACCACCACCCACCATGTGTTGCGTAATTTGCACACTCCCCTCCTCTTGGGGTCTTTAAATGTTCTCTCATACCGCATTCCCCCATGTTTCGTCACTGAAGCATGGTGAATATGGTTCAGTATAATTCAATGATTCTGCAATACCCCGGTCAAAATTCCAAAGTGAACGTTAACTCAAGTTCGCATACTGCCTATTCCTTAACATCAAATTGAACAAGAGTGAAAGCTTTCAATTAACTATGAATTCTGCAGAAATTCCGTAAAAGTGAAACAGCAAAACAGTATCAAGCATTCATCAACGCATGCTAAATGGGTGTTTGTTGATGATACTTGAGTAATGGCAAAATGCGGTATTCGAAAACAATCCGGTTAAGGTTTCTGGAACACAGATATACACAGTTTGTGGTACTGAGTTGAAGGTGCTATAAAAAGCGTTCACAATTGACTTGGCTACGTACCAGTTGAAATTTACAGATATGCACATATATCCATTATTCCTAATGGATGAACCGGAGTCAATAAGCCCATTCCAACAAAAAGTGGATCAGAACGGACACGTTTGAATAGGTGATTAAGAAAGAAATTTGTCCCAATACCATTGCACAACAAAAAGATTCAACACTTTATTCGTCATCCAGAGAAACTAACGAAAGCGATAAATCAGCAAGGGACCTCAAGGAGACACTCAATCCAAATAAGATTATTCATCGGTTTGCGTTGACAATGGAGAAAGTATTCAGCTGAAACGATGACGTAACATCGAATTGATGTATCACTGCGCCATATCATACCAGAGAATTATCCGCCGAAACGCATTATTTTTTTCATTGACTTTTACTTACTGAAATCCAAAGCCTGTGAACGAAGACTGGTTGCTGCCAGCTCTTTTCAAAGAACAGCGAGAAAAATTCTCCGATGTACCTTTGTTCATCTCATTTAAGGAAAGCCATTCTCCGGAATAACAAAAATTTAATCATATGCAACTTTCCAATCATATCATGAATGATGCTCTATACCAACACCTTTGACAAAATTGATGCAGTCCTCACACATATCCGGTGATTTCCAAAGCGCCGGTATGTACCGATTTATCAAAACAATTCATTTTACATAACAATCTTGGCAACTGGCCATTCTGTTTGAGTGTGATTCGTGTTCATGTCTCAATGGACCTTTTGGTTCATGGCGTCTGCATTTTTTTCTCTTTCAGATTGACAGTTCGCCCACTTCAAAGAGAAGATCCTGTCTGTCGACGGTTCCAGCTCATCTAGACTCTACCCACTTGCGGTTGTTTGGCATAAAGGTTCAATGGGGGACATGTTGGTGCACACACGAGCCAAGCATCTCATAATACTGCCATGCAAAATGAGCTGTGGTTTATCTCATTTCGACCGTGCGAACTATAGACTGAGTAGCTGCCCGGTAGCCAAGTCTGAATTTGGGTTGCATAGCACCTTTGTGAGCCCGTGTTTGGTACGCAGCGTGGTCAACTGATTTTTGATAAAATCCGATAGGCTCGGAAGAGCGGTACGGTCGTTTACAGCTTCCCACTTTTGGGTTGGTTTCCATACCATGGAGAGAAATAAATCATAAAAAGTCAACGTGCAATCTGCTAGTACTTTCTCCCCATACCTTTTGGGTTTTCTTCAGGATGAGAACATTTTGTGGAAAAGAGGGGCGTCTTGATTCCATGACAATCAGGGAAGCACAGAAAGAACCACATGCAATTAAACCATCATTTAAAAGAAAATGAATAAAAATCAACTTTGGGCACTAATTGCAAATTGGTTAATGTTGGCATTTATTGATTCCCATCTATATACCTTGTACTAATGAAAGGAAAAGTATAAACGTTTGCCAGAAAACCGTGTGTGAATTGACTAACTGTGCTGCTATTTACCTGTGATGATTCACATCCGCATACATGCACATGCACATATGCCTAGGTCAATCCATTGCCTTGTGGGTATGGCTTGCTGCTTCCCGAAAACAGAATGGATTATCCAAGGCCTATTTGCATACATCTTTAGCTAATCATACTAGATTAGCGATCCATCTGTCCATTGTTTGTGTAACTGAAGCACCTACTTCTAACTTATTACTTATTTTTCAATTCATATAGTAAATCAGAAGCGTCAACACTCCGCAGTTTCAATAAACCATTATTGGTAGAAAAAGCCATTTTTGTAAATCTAAGCAGGATATTTCAAAAAGATCCAACACAAAGTTACCGAAGAAGTATTTTTGCCAGTGAATTTGTGAGGTGTCATCCATTTTTGTTTTTGACTATCATTTCTAGAGTATGGGTTATTTGTATAGTAATGTATTCAAGCTGTAGTGAGTTATATATACAAGCTTTCGGCCAAAAAATAGATCACCGTTGCAATTCTGGTAAAAAACAGGGGAAAAAGTGGGATGTGAAAACGTACAATGGTAGGAGTTAATTATCAAATGCATTAGAAAGCTCAGT